GTATGAACACAGAGTAAAATGAGAAGAACTCAAAATAAATTGGTCTGTCCATTAATGACACCCACAAAAAGAATTATCCCTTGGAAGAAATAAAATACAAACTTCTTTACAAAGAATCCTACACTTTTACAGTAACCATAAGGCAGAAAGTGTTCAATAAGATTGTATATAGCACCTAGAAGCATAAACATGCATATAGCATGGAAACTCATCTATGCAAGGGCTGAAATTGTCAAAGATGAGCTTGAGCTTTTCCATTCCACCTAAATGGAAAGCACAGAATCAAATTCAGAAATGACTACATTTGTGACAGAAGCATTGTAGCATTTTATAACAACTAATTCATAGGTCAAAAATAGTTGGAGAATAGCATCCTGCTGTTCAAGAGAGATGTCACACTTACAACTGTTATTTGGAATAGGCCACGGAGTTCTAGACAGACACTTGCATCCATAAACATCATAAAATGAACGTCTTTTGGGAGAGTCAAGTACTCCTGCTCCTGTATCACATTAGCAGGATTGATGTAGGAGAGTCTACAGTGGCAGCTTTCCGGAGCAGTAGTGGGAAAGTTACCTAATCCCCTGCTATTCCACATCCATTTCACAAGAGACAAAGACTAGTAAGTCTATGCAGAAACTTCATGGATGCCACCTCCTCCCTTCCCAAAGCCCACACCAGACTAATATTTCCTATTGCCTGGGTCCAGCAAGGACCTGGATCAATACTTTAACTGGCGCTACAAATGCTCAGAGGTGCTTAATTCATTCCGCTGGGCTGGTGGGGCTCAGTTTGGCTTAAGACACTTGAAGGCAGTGCTAAATGCAAAAATAAAGCACATGTTCAAGAAAAGGCATTCGTGTGTTTGCAGTGTTAAACAACTATGCCCAGAGCTCCCTTGAATCCCCATACTTTGTATGGCATTGCCTATAGCACTGGTAAAATAAATCAAGGGGCATTTTATATGTAATGTTAATTCCTTAAGATACTTAAGCTAATGGAAGAGAACGTACTCAAAAATCAATAATAATACATACTTTTTCTCTCTCCTTTGTTTTGTTTTCTCTTTTATGTTTTCTCTTCTCTTGTCTTTGCTCTGGCCTGTTCTGCTCATATTATCCTTCTTCCCTTCCCTCTACTGTTCTTTGTCTGATCTTCTGCTCTTTAAGATATTTCTCTAGGAACTCTCATTTCACTTCAAATCCCCTTGAGACTCCTTTTATTTTTCTTCTCTGCCCCTCTTCTATTCTGTGATCAGCTATCATAGCCAAATCAATACTTGTCAGTTTTTGCAGATAATAAAAAAAAAAGAAATATGAAAATAATCCTTACATTGATTTTTTTACCTTTTTCATGCCCATTAACCACTTCTTTGAATAGTGTTGCATTGACTGGTCTTTTTTACCCATATAATTTTGGGAGAACTCTTCAACAAAATTAGTGGGTCACATCACAAAAAAACCCTGTGGTAGTAGAGCCAAAATTGGCTGCTTAAGATTTGATTCAGCCAGGGCAATACTGCAGATCTCCCATGAAATTTAGTTCAATTCCATATGTAGAGTAATCCTTTTCCTAAACTGCTTCTAACTCATTTCTGTGATATTATAAGGAAAAACATGCTCCAAAAAGAAGAATTTGAGGAGAATAAAAAGTCATATGGACTTAATCACAAAATTTAAAAGCAAATGAAATATATACAAATACCACAATGCCATATTGAAGCAAAGATTAAAGTAATTATATACACAGATACCAAATTTAAAACACGAAAGACTCAATCCTACTATCTTTAAATACAAATGAAAAATGTTCCTTGACTTCACTGGTGTGGCAGCAAGTCCTGTAACTAATGTTCTCCCTCTTGTATGAGGAATATCAGGGGCCTGGATGCACCAATAGGCCTTAATTGCCCTGACCAGCTTTACCTGGGGCTTCTACCCACACTCTCTGTCCTCCAGTCCAGGAGCTCCATTTCAGCTCAGGCAGGTCTGAGTCTTGAGTCTTGGCCTTAGCCATGTTGTATGTAGGCCTGGGCATGGCTCTATCTCCTGCTACCCTGACTCGCTGATTGAACTTCCTAGAGGAGCCCAGAACTATCCATAGCCTTACCTCCACCCTTCCTCCTGCTCTTTCTGACTGAACTTCCTAAATGGACCCCGGACCCAGCTTGTTATTTCACCTTGTCTGATGGTCACCAAGCTGTCACCAATCTGCTCTGCTCAGGCATTGCGGAACTGTGCCCTGGTCAGTGAAGTCCCTGCCCCTGCCTGCGTGGTGGTCACCCTTGGCTCCTGGATTCTCTTCCCTTGTGGAGCTGCCCCACTCTTGCTGCTCCCTGATGAAAAATTTTTTCAAATACATTTGGCCCCTTAGGAAAGGGGGAAAAAAGAACAATCACTTGTTCTGTAATGCCACCTGCTGCATGGAGTTATGAAACCTGGCTCTTAGGCAAGGCCAATATCTGGCAAAATTATTTCATTCTGGTGGTGCTTAAGAAGAAAAAGGAAAGAAAATACACACACGTACATACACCTCCACACACACACAAGCGAAGGCACAGCAAGCAAACTGTCAGCTGCGTAGCAGCTTAGAGACAATGTAATTTTGTTGTGCCCTGTCATGCTGTGCATTAATTGTTGTCTCCACACAGAACATAGTATGGTAATCAAATACAAAAATGGAGTAAAAGCAGAAAATAAAGGACAAGACTAAAGAGACCTTTAACTATATCTAAGAAATGTGACACACACACAAACACTCCAATCGGTACAGAAATCCTACAAACCTGGTCCTCACATGACATAAGAATCACACAGCATAGCTACTTCAAAATGCATCTCTGCAATGCAGCGCCATGTCCCTTTCCACATCAGTGACCCTACGGCCTGCGCAGAACTGGGTGGCCTGACCCACAGGTATGTATGCCACGCTATGCCCACAGTCCCCGTGCAGGTCTTCAGGTCCCACACGTGGAGAAAGTATGTTGCAGCCTACGGTGACAACCCGTGCTCTGCCAGGTGACCTCACATGTCCTATGTATGTGCTGCTCTGCACTGGGAGGTCTGGCTAAAAATAGTGTGACAGTGCAATAATGAATCATGACAAAGCAGCTATAAACTCTCTTTTGTATTGAAAGGACGCATATCTTAAGATTTTACACAGGGGTAGAACTATAGTGACATAATTCAAAGCAAATTTCACTAAAACAGAACTCTGTCTAGCCAAAGTGCAGCCCAGAAGCAGTAAGCTACAAGGTACTCGTTGGTCCTGAAAGAATTTACAAAGCTCCATACTAATTTATTCATCTTCTGAATTAAGATAAATATCAAACCTTACATTAAATATTGAATTAAATATCAAATCACAAAAAGGTACCTCAGGTAAGACTGGAATTGTTTGACTGTAACTACAGAAAACAGAACCAAAGCAAACACGACTTTTATACTCACCTACAGACAACCACAGACAAAAGGTTTCCTAAAGGGTATTCAGCAACACCTCATTAATAGTGATGAAGTACCCGTGATTTGCTATTCCTGGGCAACTGTAACACTGAATAATGGAAAACTTGAAAATTCACCTTCTTACTTGCTTCCCTGGTATTTTCATGGGTTATCTCTGGTCCAATTCAGATGACCAGTTATATCTGAACCTACTTTTTGATTCAAATTTCAAAAATAAAACTAGCAAAGATGAAAGTCCAGGCCTTGGACATCTTGACTAGACCATCTGCCTTTGAATACGTGGAGTTGCACAGGAAGACAAAAGACACAGGAAGACAGAGAAACAGGGAGACAGAACCTCAGCTCTGAGCCAACCAGGAGAAGTTCAAATTATAATGTTACAGTATATAATATATTATTATATT